CAGCCAAAACTACCTGTACAATAGGGGAAATTCCTGAGGCATCACCATCCCTGAGTTCAAGCTCTTTATAGAGATTTTGTCCTGTAAACAGCTTGATATTGGCACAAAAAGAGGTAGGTAGACCAATGGAATTGGGTTGAAAACCCTGATACTAACCCACATACCTACAAACACCTGATTTTTGACAAAGAAGATAAAGATATACAATGGAGGTGAGCATCTTCAGCAAGTGGTGTTGTCATAACTGTATTCTGTCATGTAGCAGACTTCGGAAAGATCCATCTATGTCTTCATGCACAAAACTTAAGGCCCAATGGATGAAAGACCTCAACATAAATCCAAACACACTGAACCTCTTAGAAGAGAAAGTAGTAGATACCCTTGAACGAAATTGTACAGGAGGAATTGGTACAGGAAACTGTTTCCTGACTATAACAACAGTAGCACAGACATTGAGATCTACCATTAATAAACTGGACCTCCTGAAACTGAGAAGTTTCTGTAAGGCAAAGGACACAGTCATTAAGACAAAACGACAGCACAGAATGGGAAAAGATCTTCACCAACGCACATCTGACAGAGGCCTGATTTCCAAAATATACAATGAACTCAACAAGCTAGAGACCATAACAGCAATCAATGAAATTAAAAAGTGGGCCATAGAACTAAATATATAATTCTCAACAGAGGAATCTAAAATGGCTGAAAAACATTTAAGAAAGTGCTCAAAATCCATAGCCATCAGAGAAATGCAACTCAAAACAAGTCTGAGATAATATCTTACACTGGCCAGTATGGTTAAAATAAAAAAAACACCAATGACAATCTATGTTGGAGAGGCTGTGGAGAAAAAGGAACACTCCTCCATTGCTGGTGGGAGTGCAAACTTACAAGACCACTTTAGAAATAAGTATGGTGGTTGCTCAAGAAAATGGCAATCAGTTTACCTCAAGATTCAGGAATTCCTCTCTTGGCCATATACCCAATTTATTCGTGTTTATACAACAAGGACATATGTTCAACTGTGTTCATAGCAGCATTGTTTGTAATAGCAGAACCTGAAAGCCGCCTATTTGCCCCTCATCTGAAGAATGGATAGAGAAAATGTGGTGCATTTATACAACGGAGTACTACTCAGCAGAAAAAAGCAACAGAATCTTGAAATTCACAGGCTAATGGATGGAACTAGAAGAAACCATCCTGAGTGAGGTAATCCAGTCACAAAAAGACAAACATAGTATGTACTAACTCATATATTAATTTCAGACATAGAGCAAAGGATTAGCAGCCTACAATCCTCTTCACCAAAGGAACTTTGGAACAAGAAAGACTCTAAAA